CACACACTCACTTACACACACTCACTTACACACACTCACTTACACACACTCACTCACACTCACTCACTCACTCATTCACTCACTGTACAGATAGCTTCCTGGCTGCCTTTCGCGTGGCAGGCGCAGTACACAGAGCCTCCTGGAGGAGCTGCGGCGCGCGTGGGCGCCGCTGGGGCCGCGGCTGCCTTTGGCGTGGCAGACGCAGTACACAGAGCCTCCCGGAGGAGCTGCGGCGCGCGTGGGTGCCACTGGGGCCGCGGCTGCCTTTCGCATGGCAGGCGCAGTACACAGAGCCTCCTGGAGGAGCTGCGGCGCGCGTGGGCGCCGCTGGGGCCGCGGCTGCTTTTTGCGTGGCAGGCGCAATACACAGAGCCTCCTGGAGGAGCTGCGGCGCGTGGGCGCCGCTGGGGCCGCGGCTGCTTTTTGCGTGGCAGGTGGAGTACACAGAGCCTCCCGGAAGAGCTGCGGCGCGCGTGGGCGCTGCTGGGGCCGCGGCTGCCTTTAGCGTGGCAGGCGCAGTACACAGAGCCTCCTGGAGGAGCCGCGCGCCGCGGCTGCCTTTTACGTGGCAGGTGCAGTACACAGCCTCCTGGAGGAGCTGCGGCGCGCGTGCGTGTGGGCGCCGCTGGGGCCGCGGCTGCCTTGTGATGGCAGGCGCAATACACATCACAACACAACTCATCACAATTCATCACAACTTATCACATACCAACTCATCACAGCTCCACTTCTCACACCTCACTCATCACAGCTCCACTGCTCATCACAACTCATCACAGCTCCACTTCTCATCACAACTTATCACATCCCAACTCATCACAGTTCCACTTCTCACACCTCACTTCTCACACCTCACTTATCACATCACAACTTCTCATCACAACTCATCACAACTTATCACATCCCAACTCATCACAGCTCCACTTCTCACACCACTTCTCACACCTCACTTATCACATCAGAACTCATCACAGCTCCACTTCTCACACCTGACATCACAAGTCCACTTCTCACACCTCACTTCTCACACCTCCCCGAAGTTCACATTAAGCTTAGATACATGAAGGCTTGACATGTGGGGTTATCCGGTCCTTTAATTATTGTTATTTATTATTCTTATCATTTATTGTTATTTTTATTTTTGAATTTCTCTCTTAATTTTTATTTTATTTTTCTTGTTTTTTCTTCTTCTTCTTATTTTTAATATTCGTATTTTTATTTTTGTTTTTAATCGTGTTAATATTATCATTGTCAATATATTATTGTTGTTATTATTGTTGTTTTTGTTTTCATTTTTGTTATTATCCCTATAATTGTTTTCCTCAATTTCGTAGTAGTCGAATATCGTCAAATAGCTAGTCAACATTGTAAATACCAATATGTTTTACGTTTCGGAAGCCCATAACCACAATATTTACGATATATTTTGTTTTAGTAGAAAAAAGGCATTTCCAATATTTTTAAGATAATATTTAGTAAAAACACTAGTTTTACGTAATTTTCAATATGTTTTAAAATATATTTATTCCATGCCAAAGGCACAAAAACACTGTAAATTATATAGGGTTCCTGGAGGGGGAGGATGCCTTCTGGTAATACTGCTGCTGCTGCCTCCTGCTGCTGTTGCTGTTGCTGTTGCTGCTGCTGCTTCCTCCTGCTCCTGCTGTTGCTTCCTCCTGCTGCTGCTGCTTCCTCCTCCGCTGCTGTTGCCAGCTCAAGTGGAGCAATCTCGCTTCAGAAGCTCATGGCGAGCTCCGGAACAAACCATATAGGCTAACCTCGTATTGACCTCGTATAGACCTCGTATCGGACCTCGTATAACCTCGTATAAATGCACCCTTGTCCACCACAGTTTTTAATATACAACCCTTCTATCCAAACCTAACCTGTGAATCCGGAGTTCCAGTATGAATTAAAACACACTGCGCATGAGATTCTGGCAGGAGTAGTCTTGAGAAGTTCACATGGGGATTTGCTCAGGTGGTTTGGGCAGGTCTGAAGCATCAAGATATCCTCATGCTGCAGAGCTCGGCTCTTTTTGCATCTCTCAACAGCCCAAACGTTTGTGCGAGCTTTTCAGCCCTTGAGCGCCGGCCTAAACCATTGAGAGGAAAATGCTATAGGCAGCAAACATGGATTGAACTGAGTTCTGTCAACCTTTCAGGCTTCATTCGTCTCAAAGAAATACGTGGCCGAGATTGGCCAAACAAATTGCGACATCAAATTATATGAAATTGGAGTATAAATTGGATCCTGGCAGGCATATGTGGCCGTGTCGCGCATGCTCTGGCTTGCAATACGTTCGACAAAAAACACAAGAATTCAAAATAGAGATCACAAGTAAATCTGAAGCCAAGCATGAAATGCAACACTCTGTGCAGCCAAGATTTAGAAAAGTTGTGCAATCTGCATCGGCTGGGGGCGCGTACCTGGCGCAATGAGGCTCCATCCAAAGCTTTTCCAAATTGCCACAATCAATGCACCGGAAAGACCAGTAGTAGCAGTGTAAATTGGGAACCCGGTCAGCTTTTCTAGGTTGGAAGACACATTGCTATAATCCCACGCCACCACTTTCAGGGCCCAGAGATATTCGAAGGGTGGAGGTAGTCTTTGACAGGAAAAAGCACCGTAGATGCACCCAGTCATGCAGCCAACCCCGAAGAAGATAGCACATGCACTGAACAATTGCCAATCCCAACAATAGGGCGGGTCAGCAAGTCAAGCCCTGCACTGGTTCTTCAAGAATGCCACAACTGCTGTGACACGTGCTGCCTTGCCACGAGGGATGGGGGCGAGCTTGCGAAGGGCCATCAAGTCTTTCAGCTCTTCGGACTTCAGGTCCCCAACTTTGCTTTCCACTTCTGTCCAAGAAAAGCTGTCGCTGAGGGCAATGGTATCTTCTAGGAGAGCCTCAACGAGCTTTTTCTGTTTGGGCGATGAAGTCGCCGATGAGGACGGCTGGCTGCCCACAGAAGGCCTAGGGATTGCCTGCAGAATTCGCTCTTCCAAGTCTGCAAGCTCTTTTTGCCGAGACTGCTCCATTTTTTCAGTTAGTTCTATGGTGTGCTTTGCAGCCAACTCAGCGTCATGCTTGGCTTTGAACTCCCTGAGCTCTGACAGTTCGGCCCGCTCAGTAGAGGACAGCGCTGAGCTGCGGGCTGTTTTTCCCCTGCATTTGTCGGAGCCATCTGAAGACAAAGGGGAAGGGCTACGGGAAGGCCTTCTCTTTGCTCTGTCTTTGGAGAGAAGACGCTCAGCCAAGCACATGGTCAAAGTTTCTTGCATAGAAGAGGCTGAAGAGAATTGCCCACCAGAGCGCCAGCCCCAAGACCCATGTCCCTGGGAGTGGCCTTGGCTATGTGCCCCATAGCGCCCATAGCCTTTGCTTCTCGGCCATCCGCCGCAAACTGCCATCACTTGGACCAGCACACACAGGAACCACATTGCTTGGAGTGGGCGCCTAAGCCGTCTGAAATCCTGGAGGGCACCGAGAAGAAAAACACTAGGCAAAGATGTGCTGGAGAGCGTGAAGGGAAAACTGGACGAAAGAAAGATAGGATGGATGACCAATGGAAAACAATACGCCTTTGAAGAAGTGGATGTCCGCTGAGAAGTGTGGTGAAGATTCTGAAGCATCAGTAAAAGAGAAGTGGCTGTCCGCTGAGAAATACAATCGTGCTTTGCGATATGTGAAGAAGTGAAAAGGATCCTGTAGCAGATTCTGGGAAGTGTGGTGCAGATTTAGATATCCAGTAGTAGCGATTCCATGCAGGAAAGCCTATGAAGACATAGAATTAGCAGAATTATTCCATTAGCGTTCCAGTAGGAGCCAACATCTCCAGTAACACTTTGATGTAGATATTTGGCCCCAGTGTTGAAGCGTTACCAATAGGATTTCTGATCCAGGTCCCGCCTTTTCTGACTTAGACGTAACCGGTGCGTTCCATGCAGTTGTACCAGCCCCGCGGTGTTTAGTCCTGACTTCAACGTTTGCCTGTACCTTTCGTGATATTCGAACCTATTTTTCTCAATATATAGATTAATTAATCATTAAATTATTATCTTATATTAATATGTTTCCTTTCAAGAGCTTGGCAAGCCAGCAGTCTTCGCCTGAAGAGAATACGGCGCGTAAAATCAATGCACAAGTTGCTTTTTGAACTTGATTAAACAAAACGTTGATAACACATATTATTAATTATTTATTTATTACATATTTACACCATAGATATCAGTAATTTTCAGTACATCTAATTAATGATCATGTAGCTCTTGATAATCAAGTGACATGTTATGAAACAGTTGCAAGAAAACTCTGAGTATTGACCCAGGCACCAAGGCAAGGCACTCTTTGAAGGCTTTGCTTTCCTGTGCAAGGTGCCGTCTTTTGTGGGTGATGGGATCTGATTCCTAGGTGGAGTTGTCCAGAAATGTGGGAAGATGCCTTGACATACCTGTAAAATCCGTCCGAAACCTATAAACCACCAATTATGGCCATGGGATGCCATGGGGACATTTTTGGTCTCAGAAAATACCCTGGATGTAGGGGACCCGGGGACCAGCATGACGCCCATCATCCCCATGGCCGGGGCCCCACCTCACTCCGAATCCGCCAAAGCAAACGATCCACGGGATCTTGGGAGTTTCGAAAATCCTGTGGGCATCTTGTTGCAAGCGATGGTTCGGAGGATCATTCCACTTCATAGCTGGTTAATTATAGCATGTTATAGCTGGTTGCGGGGCTGATAAACCAGTTACAAAAAGGGATAAGCCTGGGGGACTTACCAACCAGGGCCACCAGCGACGGGGACGATCCAAGCAGGAGAATACCCCTCGATTTTCACATGAGGTACGTGAATGAATCCAACAGATACGGCATCTTACCTGTACTGCTAGCCCACGAGCCAGCACCTGACATGAAGATTGGGAAGGTGTCTGAATGTTCCCAACCGATACATGCCAATTCAAAGTCTAGGACATCTCAACCTCAGAATCATCTTGTTCATTCTTTTCCATCTCAATCAATTGTAATGTCATGGCTCTTCAATTGGGTTGGTACCATTTGAGCAGCAAATTATATGGAAAGGAACCCGCCTCATCAGCCATTTTTGATGCGGTAAACCCAATCTGCTTGGTGGTTGTAGACCTACCCTTCGGAGAAAATGACATTCCCAAGATATGGAAAGTCATAAAAATCCATGGTTCCAAACCACCAACCAGCAATAATCAACCCAATTAGTAAACTTTGATTTAGCAAATCCATATATTTAGCCGGTGATGTCCCAGCTCAAATTCATGTGGCTTCCTCAAAACTCTTGGGTGTGTCTGAAAATGCGACAAAAACCGCCGACATGGTGATTCTCATGGAGAAACGGATGATGAACCAGCGGATACAATGAAGATCCCCATTATTATCTTCCATCTTGCCTTCCCATTCACTCTACATTAAACGCCATGATTCCATGATATTCCAATGAAATTCCCAGGAATCCCATCCCACCAATTGGAGAAACCCAGCCATTGTGTTTTTATACCCTACATCCACCATGCTTTCTGGAGTCTGTCTAATATGGGTATTACAATCGCATTTCTCTTCACACTTTCCATTAGATGCGATGAACTTTTCATTGAAGCATAAGCCCAAAAGTAGGGATTGGAGAATGAGTATTAACCACCGGATTTAGGGCTATCATATTTTCAGACCAACCCTTTTCTTCCCATAAGAATTAGATGCTGTCCATGAATTCGATTCCAGGTCGAGAAACCATGATCTCCCATTCATGGAACCATGACATGGCCATGTCAGACCAATCCTGTTCCCGCTGACATCCAAACATCTGGTATCATCTGGTTATTTGAAGCTGAATTCATTGATGTGGGTAAAACAATGATAAACCATCCCCCCAATTCACATTTTTTATGAGTGGTATGATGTGGTATGTTTACCATTCCCAGTCAGACGGGTGGTTTATGACATTGTTTTATGTTTTACCACATGAAATCCCATGACATGACCATTTTGTTGAAGAATTTTCTCCAATGTCATATCCCACCCTGACATGACATGACATGGCATGACATGACATGACATGACAATCTGAGAAGAGACAATCTGCACAATCCCATGACTCCATCCCATGACCAGTTTGTCTTTCCATCAAAAACCAGCCACCAATCCCAGCTGCCGAGCTCGCCATTGCCGCGGCCTCCGCAGCTGCCGAGCTCAAAGACTCCCGCAGGCCGCTGCGCATGGCCTGGCAATGGACCATGTCCAGTGGGGTCTCAGCTTAAGCTGAACCGGTGTCCTGAACGTGGCTGGGAAATCCCCCGACGAAATGGAGGTTTCTATCGGAAAATGCCAGGTTTTAGATGGTTTTAGTAGCAACATCCACCATAAATGGACTTTTTGCTGGGAAAATTGCTATAAATGGAGGTTTATAGCAGGAAAAATCCACGTTAAATGGTGGATTTTCCAGCAAGCCACATTTCATGACACCGGAGGGTATATGGGAAATAGAGCTGGTTCTGATCGATCCACACAAGTGAAAAAAATCGAGCTTTGCATGGTACAGTTTATAGCATCCCCCCAAAAAAAATGATGAACATCATTGAAAACAACCATAAATGGGGAAGTGTAGTATAGGAGCATTTCGGGACGCTTGTGGGATAGTTGTGATATTTGAACCTTCCACACTTGGTCATTTTTAATGGATAAACCAGTAGTTTTGGGGCACCCCAATTGAATTTGGAGACTAAACAAGAATATTTGAGCACCATAAACATGGTCAAATCATCTCAGGTAAGGAAAGTTGCAGGCTTACCAGATCATCACCTGGATCGAAATTCAAAGTCTCCAGCAGCATCATAGCTCCAAGACTTGCCCCTCAAGCCTCAAGCCGTGACCAGTTTCCCTGGTGCCTGGCAATACTCTTGGATCTGCAGGTTGGTGGCCTGCAGGGCACCCACTGGGAGGCACTTTGGCAAGCTTGGTGCTGTGTGTTGATGACTAACAACAACAACAACAACAACAACAACAACAACAACAACAACAACAACAACAACAACAACCACAACCACAACCACAACCACAACAACAACAACAACAACAACAACAACAACAACAGCAAACCAACAAACCCACAAACCAACAAACCAACAAACCAACAAACCAACAAACCAACAAACCAACAACCAACAACCAACAACCAACAACCACCACCAACAACAACAACAACCACGACGACGACGACGACAACAACAACGACGACGACGACGACAACAACAACAACAACAACAACAACAACAACAACAACAACAACAACAAACAACAACAACAACAACCACGACAACAACGACAACGACAATGACAACGACAACAACAACAACAGCAAAACTACAACTAAGACTACAACAACAACAACAACGACAACGACAACGACAACGACAACGACTGCTACTACTACCGCCACCACATCTACAACTACAACAAACTCAAATTGCAATCCTTTCCAGTATCGCAAAAACACCCATTGGAAAACAATCAAACATTCCACACTGTTGGAAGGGAGGTGAAGTAAAGCTAAATCACCAAGAAGAACTGAGCATGGTTGCATCTCAAATTTGCAGCAGGGTGGGATCTGTTCGCTTTAAAACGCCTAGCCGACGAAGCCCAGCCTGATCTGCTTGCGTCCAACCCAACCAGTCTTCATGACCTCGAATCGCTTGGCCTTCTGCTGTGAGGTTTACGCTAGCTTCATCACAAGGTGATCCAGAACAAGTGGATCGTTGTCTCAGAAATTATCACACTGGCATTTCTTATTCAATTCTGCTATGAAACTTGTGATGGCAATGTCGATATGAAAATAATGGTTTTCGCTGGTTATTTATTTTATTCTCCATGAGCAACACGCTATAAATTGGCAGCAAAACACCCCAAATCACCCATCTGTAATGGTATGATGGATCAAACATGGGCTAGTATAGGTACGTACCCTCTGGAAAACTACCATAGCTATTGAAAATGGCCATAGAAATAGTTGATTTACGCATCAAAAATGGTGATTTTCCAGAGTTGTCTAAACCTTTACCAGAGGGTACTTGCTAAATTGATCTAAATTGCCTAGAAAACCAAAATTGATTCGTCTTGGAATCAGACGTTTGGAGTTGGGTCCCCCGCACAACAACAGGTTCGCTGAATACAAGTCATGTTCCTCAACTTTCAGAAACGGAGGATGAGATTATCCCCATGATGTCCCGATATATATATATATATATATAGCCCCATTATGCTACCGTTTTTGATGGTTAAGTCATCATTTTTGTTGGTTAAAACTGATGAGCCCTAGTGCTCCACCAGGCCCAGCCACCTAAAATTCCCAGCCTTCTTCGGATCCAGGCCTCCGCAGCTGCTCGTTCTTCTAGTTTTTCTCCTTGCTTTGCAGCCCTATCTGGCGGGCATAGTTTGGCCACGGGGCCCTTGAAGAAAAAACAGCTACGCATCAGGTTGAGTTCAGCACCTGACAGGTTCAAGGATTTGAAATGTGCAAATGCAAAAATGAAAGGTAAGGTGGTGCCACAACAGCACTCCCCCTTGAAAGATCCGCTTTGGACCTTTCACCTTTCAGCCAGGCTCAAGCTGTTGAATTTTTGGTTTCTAAACATGCCGTGCACAGTTGCAGATGATTCGATCCTAGTGCTGTAGGGCATCTCATATCTGAATGTGCAGCACTTCCGTACGCTCTCAGAAACAGGGTGGCACCAAGAGCAGGAACTGATCCATTTTGATAGGCAGAGCGTCGGCATCGACTGCACCATTTTGATTCTTTCGCCAGACCAGTGTTCACCGAAGCCAAAGACAGCTTCGGCTCAAATGATAAACTCCGCCAAACTTGCCGAAAACACCTGAAATGGTAAATCTGGAAATTCGACTTCATCCGGCAGTTGAGCGATGGGACCCGAAATCGGATCACCTGGTGCAGCAGCAATCAGCTCCATTCGGATCTGTCTTTCCCCTCTTTCGATTTCATCCCAGCTTCCAAAGATGTCCTCTTCAACGGTGGGCATGTTTGAGCCCTGTGATCTTGATTTCGGCTGTTGAACCCTTGATGATGGTGTCACATTTGGCAAGTGACCCATCTTTGGAAACTTTTCACCTTTGGTACTCCTTTTGGTCGCGGAGCACTTTTCATTGGAACCTGTGGTGGCGGAGAAGAGGACGAAGAAGTTGATGGTGAGGCAGTTAAGGGGGCAGCAACAACGGAGGGCTCGCCATGGCTTGAAACTATCTTTTCTCCTCGCTTCGCTTCTCCAGGGAGACTTCCGGGTGATGGAACTTGGCGCCTTTGAGCGGCAGCTCTCACCAACCGTACTCCTACCTTCCAGATCTGCTGTGCAAAGAGTGTGGCCAAAACCACAAAAAAGGTATAGCAAGCGACCATCGTTTCAAAGCTGATTTTTTCTTCATCCTCCTTAACTTTCTCCTTTTCAACCGCTTTCGCTGAAGAAATGGCAGCAGCCAGAGTGATGAGCTTGATGATCTGGGCTGCTTCAGCTACTTTCATCCCTTCGCTTTTCTTTTGATCTTCGCCTTCTTCTCTCAGCCTCCTTTCTTTCTTTTTTCCTCCTTTTCTTCTACTTCTTTCAAACTTCCCATGCTCATGAGATTTTCCAGCTTTTCTAATCTTGGGGCGCTCAAGGCTTTCGTCCCCAAGTCGGCGATCATTGACTCGCCAGCAACATGTTGGATCAGCCAATCGCCACGGCTGATGCTCTGCCTGGCAAATGAGGAACGAAGCCTGAGGTGCCTCGTCCTCCAGCTGCCGCCATCGCAGGTGAGAATGGCTTCAGCTGCTTGGCTGTCGGTGTAGGCCACTTTGATGACCACCTCGTAGAGCTCTTGGACCATGACAGCTATTGATTCGCCAGCAGTCATCGCTTCTATGACTTCTGTCATCTCTGATTCAGCTGTTGAAAGTGTGACCAGACTGTCGGCCAGCTCGCCAAAAAATCGGCGACCCTTCCAGCAAAATCAAAAAGCTTCCATGACTTTCTGAGCCTTCAGGAGAAAATGAGGCATCTGAGTATGCCTGCAGGACGATCTCATCTTTGAAGTCCACCTGGTAGTGGAGTCCCTCATCTTGAGTTCTTTTGAGATAGCCCTTCATTTGATCTCCTAGCTCCATGACTTTGACGGGATTCTTCAGGGCGTTTGATCCATCCGACTCACACCATACATGAGGTCAGGGCGTGAGCGGGTGAGAAGCCAAAGTACTTCTCCAACACATTTTTGAGCTCCTCGCACTTCTTCCAGCGTAGGTGTAGACGCTGGTGCTTCAATGTGAGCTTGGCCACGGGTAACAGGGATCTTTCTTTCTTTCACTTTTTCTTCACTTTTCTCTATCAAGTCTTTGATAGACCTCTGGGTCACATACCACTCCTCCCTTTCTCCATCCTCAGCTTTTCTTTTTGACACTTCCATCCCAAGAAAACGAATGGGATGCTCGGAGACATACTCTGGCGTTGATGTCTTCCAAGTTTCTTGAAACTTCTTCTTGATGGCCTCCAGGATGGAGTGGGATGAGCAGATGAAGATGTCATCCACGTAGGTCATAACCAGTCCCCATAGGACTTGGCTTTCATCGATAATTTCCAGCACTCTCCAAAGGTTTGGTTCTGATTGAAGAGCTCGTAGATGGAACTTTCTTTTTCCTCCTCTTGAATCTTCTGCTTCGATTTGAAAGCTTTCCATAGTTTCATCACGGCACGTACCCCACAATCTTGGAGAACGGCGGAGCCCATACACAGCTCTTTGAGGCACGAAGAAATCATCCGGTGCCATGTAGCCCTTCTCGGTGAAAAGTGCAGGTGGCCTCACAATCAGGACAGCTTCTTGGTCGTCCTCATCCACCAACGTGTTGAGGAATGCAGTCTTGATGTCGATAACTGCACCAGCCCATTGATGACGGGCTGCTGCCCAAATTGACAGCCGAAAGGCTGCGGCATCAGCACCGCTTGAAAAGGTCTGTTCAGAATCCTTTTTGGACTCATAGTTTCCGCAAATCACCCAACGTGTTTTGTGCTTGCCGCCATTGGGGCCAGCTTTGATCGTTAAGACCAATTTTGAGGGTATGATCTCCACAGTGCGGCCTTCTTGAGCAGCCTTCTTTTGAATCTCCGCCAATTCTTTTCTTGTGATCTTTTTCAAAGCTTCTTTCTCCTCCAAAAGACTTTGAACTTCGGCATCGACGGCTTCAAGCCAACTTTTCCAACTTTTGGCAACCTCTCTTGTTGAGATTACTTTCGTTTGGAGAATCTCATCCTCCTCACTTGGTTCTTCCATCATTCTTTTCATGTTCGCTGCCCATTTGAGTTCTTCCACTGCTATGTCAGGGTCGTCTTCGGCCATGTGTTTCATTTCTTCTTCTATCATTCTGCTCAGCCTCTGTCTCAGCTGCTGAACCTTTTCTTCTTCTTTCTCCTCATCTTTCAAATCTTTCTCCTCAACTTCAATCTTTCTTACTGATGTCTTCTCTCGCAACCTCCTTCTGGCAGTCAAAGCATCAGCGACTTCCCTTTCGATTGCGACCCACTTCTGGTCGGTGATTGGCTCTTTGGCTTTCCGAAGAACGTATTTGGTGACTCTTGGTCGTTCTATGTCGTTCTTCTTCAGCCTGAACCCAATGTCCATGTTCTTCAGGAGCAGGAAACAGGTACTTGACAGTCTCCACGGTGGGCTCGAAGACACCCTGTCTCCATGTGCGACGCCTCACAAGGACATCCTGCATGAAAGGTGGAAAGCTTGGAGCGTCGCCAAGCCGCCAGCTTCTGTTCAAGGCATCGGCATAGCGAGCCGCTAATGGCCAACATTCGCTGCCCACATCGGCTTGTTTGAGCAGCCGACGTATTTGTGTTTTGAAGCTCTTCACTGCCACCTCTACGCGGCCATTCGCTCGAGGATCATCTCCAGGTGTGCGTGTCAGCACTATGCCACGTGAGATGGCCCATTTCCGGAAAACCCCGGAGAACTCATGACCTCGATCTGAATGTATTCTTCCAATGTGGAAGCCGTCCATTCTGAGCTTGAGGATGACCGTTTTGGTGACTTCTCTTGCAGTTTTGGTGATCATAGGTGCAGCCAGGCGGAAGATCTTGATGTCGAAGCCTCCAGGTTTGAGCTCTTCTTCTCCTTCTTTCTTTTCAGGTGGAGGCAAGAGATAGGGTGGTTCAGGCGGAGCTCCCCCTGGAACCAAGGCATCCCCTTTTTTCTCCTCCCCTCCTTCTTTTACCTCATCTTCTTCAGCACAAACTTCCATTGGATCTTCTCCATCTTTCTCCTCACCTGCCGCCTCCTCCTGACCTTCTTTCGCATTATCTTCATCTTTTTCTTCTTCATCTTCAGGGTATACCTCAAAGGATTCAGCTGGAACTGCCCATGTCAGAGTGCCAACCAACATCCATCTTGCGTAGAGACGTCCAATGTCCTTTGCTGGAATTAACGGTCCAGCCACATCCAAGGAAAGAACTCCTCCAACAGGATATGGAACTTTTCTGTGAGGATGGCACTGCTGCATAGTATGTTGACATACTGCGCAGTCTCGGCGATATGGAGTATGCCCATGGGCGATGTGTTCGTCCCAGCTCAGAGGTCGCAACATTGGGTTGCGCTGCATCACTTGTGTCGTCAGGGCTTCTGCAACCATCGCCATGACGCCAGGGGCCCATCTTGAAAGGTCTTTTGAAGACTTCACCTCCAAACCTTCTCCTGCTTTCTTCATTCTTTTGTGGTTGTTAACCTCCAGCTTCAAGTTTCCGCCAAAGGTAGTTGGTTTGGTATCGGAGCCACCATATTGACCTTGCGCAAACGTAGTTTCTTCCCAGCCAAACTCCTTCTTCAAAGAAGCCCACTCTTTGGTGACCCAAAACGAGACAACTTCTGGCTTGTAGTCTTTGGGTGATGCTGGCTGTTCCAAGGTGAAGCCAACAGGGTTTGGATCTTTTCGCGCTTCTTTGATGTAATTGGAGACCATGGCAAGGAAGATCATGCGCCAGAGGAGGATGTCAACTTCTTGAATCATAGTTTTTTCAGCTTCTGTAAGTCCACTGATTCCATATTTTCTTCCTCCCCAAGACCTGACTGGCCTTGGACAATCCGGTTGACCGGGCACTTTGTAGTGACGCAACACACTTCTGCTTCGGCAGTTTGGGCCACCGACTATCGCTTTGAGCTTGTTCTCCAATGCAGCTCGAATCAGTGCTGCATAGGGCCCCACATCTGTTGAAAGGTCATGATGTGAGCCTCTTTTGATGTCGAGCTCCAAAAGGGCGGAAGCTTCACCTCCTTGTTGATGCCACGCACGGGCAAGTGTAAATCCAGAGTTTTCACCTGCAAACAGTTAACATGTGGACCATGAATCCATTTCTTTGCATTCTTTTTCTGGTTCTTCGGTTCGCAGGCAAAGTTGACCATGAAGTTGGCTCGACAGCTAACCTGGACTTTATGTGTTGTGGAAGACGTCGAAGAACTGGGTGCGTTTCTACCAGCTTTTTCATCCACTCAACTTCTTCTTTAAGGGTTCTTTCTTCGACTTTCCCCAGGATTGCAGTCTGCTCCAACTCCTCGCTCAGCTCAAGAGTTGTTGACCTTAACATTTGAGGGCAACCTCCATTGACTTGGATCGGCAAAATGCCGCGGTTTGGGTGTCGAAGGCAAACTCCTTCGCTGTTCCATTCGATTTTGCAGCCAAGCTTTTCAATGAGCAAACCCATCGGCAAGATCGGCTCCACATCAACACTCTCTGAGACCATCACACCTCCAGGAGTCATTTGGAGTTGAGCTTGTTGACCATTCGCAAGGGTCACATTCACAGTCTTGTAGTTGGCACATGATTCTCCTGGACGTAGTGGACGGAGTGCATGGGTGGCCCCAGAGTCTATGAGGCCTTGTGTTTTTCCAAAAGGAACTTGGCTCAACTTGAACACCTTCAACTTCAGAGAGTTCAGCTGTTGCTGAAGTCGGTCTACAACCTCATCTCTTGGCTCGTTTGCAACACTTGTAGTAGAGGGAGAAGCGGTAGACGCAGAAGTGGTCAGGCTTTTCAACATCTTATTTGCTTGTTCCAAAAGGTCTTTCATTGAAGCCTGTTCTGAGCCTCCCTCATCCTCTTTTGTCTTTGGGCTTGATGGTGACTCTTCCTCCCCCTCAACCTTTTGAAGTCGTGGCTTTTGTGGAGAGGTGTCATTCGAATTCTTTGGTCTTGTGCATGCCGGCGACATATGGTCTGGGCAGCCGCAATTCCAGCATCTTCTCTTTTCATCTTTGACATCATGGGAAAAGTTGCATGTCTTTCCCCTTTTGCAACCTTGGTCTGTAAGGAAAAAACAACACTTCGGCTTTTCGTCCTTTCCTTCTTCTCTTTTTGTAGGTGACCTTCCAGTCTCCTCATCTCCTTTCTTTGCTTTCGTTCTTTCAGCTTCCAAAGACTTCAACTTCGGTTGCTCACCTTTGACAGCTGCTGTGGATGCACCTGGCTTCTTTTCGGTTAAAGCCAGCTGTTCAAACTCAGCAAGAAGGTGGTAAGCGAACTGCTCCACGTTGGTGTCATTTGGCGTAGTGTCAACCCCAAGCCCAGACCGGACTAGGGACACCCTGAACTGTAGCTCCCTTTGACTTTCCAGCTGTTTCTTTGACATCTTTAAAAGTCCCTTGAGTTGTAGAGCTGGATCTGGGGGCACAGCTCCTATTTCTTTTGCGCGGTTTCTCCATCGAAGCCAATGTCGTAGTGCACCAGGAGCTTCATTGAGGCTTTTAATCTCCGGGGGCTCCTCCAAGCTTCTAAGGATGTTTTGCTTTTCTGGAACTCCTCCACGGCTATAGGCGACCAAGAGATACGTGACAATCCCAAAGGTCGTCATTCTCCTTGAGGCTACAAGTTCTTCGCGGACACCCTGGGGAACAGCTTGGAGGATCATTGAAGAACCCCTTCTTTCAACCCTCTGCCACTTCTCCAAAGTAATTTCAGGCGGTGCTTCACAGGGGTGCTTGATTCTTTCCAAGGGGCTCAAGCTCATGTGAAGCTTGTACCATTCTTCAGCTGCTTTGACGGTAATTCGCCACCATTCCCCTGCCGTCATGGAGAGGTCTGCAACGATGGGCTCCGTCAGTAAAAGCCAATCTCCAAGAATCAAGGGGCCATGCTGAGCTTCCCATGGTTGTAATGCTGGAAGATCTGGGCTGCCAGTGCGAATCGTTTCAACACCCTTCACCAAACCAGCATCATCCTTGGAGTCGTTCATGCGCTTTTGCATCTCTTTCATAGATTCCATCATCAATGCCATAAATTCCAATGACTTTTCCGTGAACGCAGCCGATGAATCGCCAGCTGACGTCTTTTCACCTTTGTAGGGGTCTGCAGCCTCCCTTGATCTTTGAGAACCTATACCGCTTCCATCAGGAGGTCTTTCAGCCTCCTTGCCTGAACCGGTGGTCACACCGACAGCCGGCCGGTGTGAGTTGGAAGCCTCTTCTGCCTCCCTTGGGCTTTTTGGGGGTCTATCAGCCTCCTTTTTGGGGGTCTTTCAAGCTGGCCATCAGAGCCATTTGGAGTTGCAAACCGCTGATCTTCATCCAACTTTTGAAACTCCAACGCATCAACCCTTTCCCTCAGGAGCTGATTCTCCCTCAAAACTTTTTCCAAATTCCTTCTCAATTCTCGATTTTCTCTATCTACATCCAGGCTTCTATCATGTCCATGTCCATGAAAGCCGCTGGACCCAACCCGGCCCTCCTCATGCATTCTTCGTTCATCTTGTTCAAGGAAAAGAGGTCGTTGGACCGGAGGCAAGAATTGCCCAGGTGGCATCAGAGACAAGGGAGCTTGAGGGACATGTTGTGGATATAGCCATGGTGCTTGTGCATACAGTTCTTGAAACCTTCTAAGTTGATGTTCATCAAACAAAGGAGTCATGGGCGTGGACATGTGCAGAGGTTCAGACATCTTCGGGTCTGACTGAGGTGCTACGCTTTTTTCCACACTCCCAACCCCATGCTGTCCTTCTTCATCTTTCTTTTCTGGAGTCTTCAGGTCACTGGCTGCAGCTTTCGAAGTTCTTTGAACCGGCACTGACTGCGATGAAGGCAAAACACCTTCAGCAGCAACTGCAACCTTAGTCTCCTTAGTGGCTCCAGGTTCCTCAGGCGCATTTTTCAGAGGGCGGATTTCCTCAGGTGAGGCAGCTTTTGAAGACTGGGGACCTTCAGTTATAGCTTTAACCCTTTCCATATTCTCCTCAGGCGGTATGGGGGTCTCAGCCTCCTTAGAATCACCTTCAGCCTTCCTATCTTCTAACGCTACTTCATCTTTTACCTGTTGATCCAGCCTCCTTTGTGCTTCTTCTATTTCCCGTTGGCCTTGCTCAAGCTCTTTTCTTCTTTGCATCATAGGTTCCATCTTTGCAGCGGCAGGCTTTGGGCTCATAACCTGATGAAGCCCTAGTGCTCCACCAGGCCCAGCCACCTAAAATTCCCAGCCTTCTTCGGACCCAGGCCTCCGCAGCTGCTCATTCTTCTAGTTTTTCTCCTTGCTTTGCAGCCCTATCTGGCGGGCATAGTTTGGCCACGGGGCCCTTGAAGAAAAACCAGCTACGCATCAGGTTGAGTTCAGCACCTGACAGGTTAAAGGATTTGAAATGTGCAAATGCAAAAATGAAAGGTAAGGTGGTGCCACAACAGCAAAAACCATCATGAAAGCTCGCAGCTCCTGAGATATGAGATGTCGGCTGTATTTCTTTGGCGGTGGCCACTTGTCCAAGAGACTGGTTTGGTTGATCACCTGCTCCACACAGGAAACAAGAACGATTGGCTTGGGGAGGCTAAAACATGATATGATATTGATATTAGCAATGGCAATGACAATGACATTGACATGATATGATACGACATGATATGGGTTTTGTCTGAATATGGGGTTTTACCCGAAACAAACACACCCATTCCAATGGGGAAAGTTATGACAAACCATGGGATTTCGGGCTCACAATTCCAAATTCTGAGACATCTCCATATCAAAGGCTGATAGATTAACTAGTCATAAGTTGGACAATCAAATGATGACCAGGGTCCTGCTTGGTCAACCAAAGATATCCAAAGGGGGCGCACCTGTGGCTTGTACCAATTGTTCAGCAGAAGCCAAGCCACCCGAAAGCAACGAACAAAGCTGCGCATGGGCCTAAGCTGCATCACTTGGGCACGAAGGTTGATGTTTTGAATGTGGTGGATGCTAGTCCGATTTTCTGGGTTGGCGAGGGTCATACGTTTTGAAGCATATCTAAGTTCAAACAAGTCCTTGCCAAAATATTGATATGTCAACATTAGATCAGCATTTTGGCTGCCACTCAAGTATCTTGGTTCCCAACCCACTGCTTCCTACAGGGAAAGTGGCAGACTTTTCACAGGAACGTCATGCTTATTCTCGCAAAGAGCATCAAGGCAAGCTACAAGAAAGAGGTTGCTCTCCAATTTAGGTGATCTTGATTCAAAGAAGAAACCATGGATTGAATTGATATGCGTTGCATCTTTCACCTACCTACTTAATACAGTCTGTGCATTGTGTGGCACATACCTACCCCACACCGCTCATGTGCTTCTTTTGGGCTTGTAGCCTTTGCAGTACACCAAGCTTTACATGTCGCAACATGTGCTCTAACTCTCATCATGTCACTTCTCCCATATCCCCAATTACATTCCACACGCAATTGCATTGATTATATTGATGATGTTTATTACGTTGTGTTGATTACCTTGACCGTCTTGAATATTAGTTATATATCCACACAATACTAATTATATGACTCTATATATATAATATATATATACGTATAAATATATACACATATGACTAGCGTATGGTTGGGAAAGTCTATTCTTAGTTCCAACTGGCTCCCTATTAAACCGGAAATATCATGGAATATGAATACCCATAGCTCCTTAGCTCCCTCTTAACCACTGAATAGCAAAAAAAATGTGTATATATATATATATATATATCAAACATATATCATGGGATATACATATCATGTATCTCATGTATCATGTATCTCATGTATCTCATGTATATCATATACCAGTAGTACCGCACAAGGCGGTGGCGGAAGTTTCAGAATAGGAAACCTATAGGAGACGTTGGTTGTTGTGAATCACGGATGGCAGAGCGAATCCACTGATTGACCGAAAGGTGGTTGGAGTTGTGTTTGCTGGAGTGGTTGCAATGGTTGCAGTGGTCACCTCACCCACAACTGCTGGATGTAGTGTGATGTACTGCAACTGTAGTTGTAGTTGTAGCGTAGTGGAGTTGTAGTTGTGGTGTAATGTAATTAGTGTAGTGTAGTTGCAGTCATATAGTTGTAGATGTAGTTGTTTTGTAGTTGTAGTTGTAGTTGTTGTAGTTGTAGTTGTTGTTGTAGTTGTTGTTGTTAGTTGTAGCTGTAGTTGTTGTGTGGTTGTAGTTGTGTGTAGTGTAGCGTAGTCAGTAGGAGTAGTAGTAGTAGTAGTAGTAGTAGTAGTAGTAGTAGTAGTAGTAGTTGTTTGTTGTTGTAGTTTGTTGTAGTTGTAGTTGTTTGTTGTTGCTGTAGTAGTAGTAGTAGTAGTTGTTGTTGTTGTAGCTGTAGTTGTTGTAGTTGTAGTTCTAGTTGTAGTTGTTGTGTAGTTGTAGTTGTAGTTGTTGTTGTTGCTGTTGTTGTTGCTGTTGTTGTTGTAGTAGTTGTTGTAGTTGTAGTTCTAGTTGTAGTTGTCGTGTAGTTGTTGTAGTTGTAGTTGTTGTAGTTGTTGTGGTTGGTGTTGTTGTTGTTGTTGTTGTGGTTGTGGTTGTTGTTGTTGTTGTTGTTGCTGTTGCTGTGGCTGTTGTCGTCGAAGTTAGGGTAGTTAAGTTAGTGAAGTTAGTTAAGTTAGTCAAGTTAGTTAAGTTAATCAATGTCTACTTTTTCGACATCTTCACGTCAAAAAAGGCTCAAAACCCTCAGTTTTTTACACTTTTGACTTCGAAATGTGCTTCGCGCCACAACGGCGTGCCCTTTTTCGACACTTTTTCGACATCTGAACCTCCAAAAGTGGTCCGAGACCGTCAGTTTTTAACACTTTTGACTTGGAAATGTGCTTCGCGCCACAACGGCGTGCACTTTTTCGACATCTCAACTTCCAAAAGCGGTCCGAAGCTGAGGTGTTTTGTACATTTTGACTTGGAAATGTGCTTCGCGCCACAACGGCGTACACTTTTTCGACATCGCAACTTCCAAAAGTCGTCCGACGCTGAGGTGTTTTGTACATTTTGACTTGGAAATGTGCTTCGCGCCACAACGGCGTGCACTTTTTCGACATCGCAACTTCCAAAAGTCGTCCGACGCTGAGGTGTTTTGTACCTTTTGACTTGGAAATGTGCTTCGCGCCACAACGGCGTGCAATTTTTCATCGCTCCTGTGACCAGCTGGCTCCGCACTCGCCGCTTTAGCGAGCCTACTTTTCGACCCTCCTGAGCCACAAATCATTGGAAAAACACAGTGTTTCGCGACTTTCCTACCTTTTCGCGCATCTGTATCTTCTTTCTTCTGACTCTTTCTCTTCTCATCTTCTCATCTTCTCTCTTCTAATCTTCCTCTTCTCTCTGCCTCTCCCCTACTCTGCTTTTCATCTGTCCATATTGTCGGAAGTTTGACTTCTAAACTTCCTTCGATAAAAACAATAATAATAAATAATAATAATAATAATAATTAGACAAATAATTTAATTAAATAAATAAACCTATATATATATAATATATATATATTATATATATATATGTATATATAATATGTAGTATATGTAGGCCCAAAGGCCCAAGCCACCAAGGCTCCCTGGCCAGCCCTTCTTGCTCAGTCGCACTTCAAAGGCCTCCTGGGAGGTGCCTCGGTTCACCGACGAGGCACCAGCTGCTTGGGGAGGTTAAAGTCACCTGAAAAAGGTGGTTTAATTGGATGTTAAATATTGTTAAATGGATCTTAAATATGACTTCGTTGGATTTTACTAAAAATTAATTGAGTTGCTGATTTAAGTATTGATTGAATCTATGATTCAAGTGATAAGTTGATTGAAGATTGAATTAAGTAACTGATTTGATTTGTTCACTGATGTTAAGTGAACGATAAGTGAACAATAGATTATATAGTTAGTCAAGAGGGATCAGCATGACAACTAGGATTGAACAATTAGAACACATAATCGAAACCTCCAACTAACAAGGCGGCAAGCAGCAGTTGGGACCCCTAATTTATGGGCATTAAAGCGGCAAACACCAGACTTTAGACCACTGGATGAAATTGGCTACCGTACCATTCTATTGGACAAACACAGTTTCAGTCAGACATGTTGACATGTTTGAGCAGTTCTATGTCTTTCTATGATGTTCTATGCAAATCCAGACAAATCATCGATTTGCAGGATATTCCAGTCCCAAATCCTGGGTTTGCGTCCAAGCTGCAATTGAACTTTCTAAACTCCTTGTAGTTTGGTGTGCGAGGATTTGAATTCCTGGCGAATGTGCGGCTTTCTGCATCTTTCTCCCGGGCTGCAGGTGACAACCTGGAATTTTTTGGATTTTATCGGGTCCCCCAACAATTCCTGGGGGTCCCAAAGACAGTAGCCCCATCCAGATCATCCAGTCAGAAACATGCCGCCGTGACCAATTTTCTGGAATGGCCACCTGACACTCAATTGTGATCATCTCGCCACAAAAACCATATAGGGAAATATGTGTTTGAAACATCTTGAAACCATGAACCGACAGGTTTTGGGGCTTCTCGCATTGTGTTGCTGCACAAAACATTGTTTGAATAAGTAGCTTCCAAGAATGTAAGACATCCTGAGAATAGGAGACACAGGAATTGAGAAGCTGGGCGAAAACAATCCAAGAGTTGAAACCAAATCAAGTTGTCTACAATTGGAAAGATTGTACTTTGTTCTGCAAAGGCAACAAGACACTTTTGTCCAGTCGGACTTCCTGCTCAAAGTGCTCCAGCCTTTCCACCAATGCCCGTGGGATTCTTTAGCGTCGACTCGTTGGCAGACCTGCGGCACGGGCTTCCAATGAAGAAAGGTAACCACATACGTGTCCATATCTATACAGTATCTTAATTTATGTCAACATACTACATATATATATATATACATACACTCACACTAGTATATACACATATAATATATATATATATACTAGTAAACACTAGTATATATATAATCATATATTATCAACATCTATTATGTATTTTTGCATTTCACCATCATAAACCATTATCATCATCTACGCTTTCACGTAGATATGTAGCTCCATAAATCCTGATGCAGCATCTGTTGTCCATTGGGGATTGACTAGAGGCTTTAAGGCTTCATCTTCTTAAGATGATGGTAAACATTCAAAGATGGGGGTCTCACGCCTGATTTTGGACGTGAGACCAATTCTGGGGCAACAGTTTCAACAGTTTCAGAAGCACATCATCCTTAAAAAAAAAAACAACCTTCTGGTAAGAATCAGTCACCAATCTGTGTATGGGTCAAGACCATGGTGCCCTAACAGCAAACTGCTGGTAGTTGTGGATCTTCATCCCCCAACCAATTGGTTCCATAATGTTCCATAGTATTGTAGCTCTTGACCCATTCCCTGTATCCACAGCCTCGAAACACCGCGAAGAAACAACCTCAGATCAGAGAAAAGAACAGCTTGGGATGGGACCTCTGGCCAAATGGAAAAATACCTGGGCATATCAGATGCCGGTGAGGTTCCCTTGAAAACACACAGTGCGATGTGTAAATGGACCAGGGGTCCAATATCTCAATCTGGTCCCTGATTCAGCCGTTTCATATCAACTCTATCAACGTTTCTCCAAGATGAAAAACAACGTGCCTCCATCAACTCATGATTTGTAGTTGTCTCAACTATGGTGAGGTTATGTGAAGTTGAAGGCGTAACAAGTCATGTTTGCGTTAAAGATACTGGACTGCATGTGGGTCCAAATGATTTATTATTTTTGGTGCAATTCACAGTAGCATTTTTCGGGTCCACATCCGATACCCTCACGGAAACAATCATGGCAGTGGAACAGTTGTTCTTGGTTGTAGATGCTGTACCAATTATATCCTATTATGTGGTTTCTTCCGTCGCCCAGTGACACCTATTTATGTCTTCTCGACTGGTAAAAACATTTTACTCCCGGTTTGCTTTGGTCAACAATTCCCAGGAGATGCCAGGAGTCTTGCTGTGTCCCCACATCTGGTTGTTGGGTGGTTGGGTGGCTCCCCCCACTTTTGCTGGTGAAATTCCCACATATCGTCGTGCAAATTCCCATGGTTTGGTGGTCAAATCCTCCAATTGAGGTGCTCAAAATCCGAATTCTTGCTCCAAAAATCTTCGCCTAGTTGGCTGATTAAACAAGTAAGTCTTAAACCATGTTCAAACCCATGATTCTTTCCCCCAAAAAATCAATTTTCGCTGGTGAAACGCCACCATTTTTGTCCCCGCTTCAGCCAGGCCACTCGCTCTCCGAGAACCTGCCGGACCAAAGGAAGATCTCCTCGTTTTCCCGGTGGTCCCGCTCAGCGGCCTCGGGATTCGGGTCAAACCACCATGGGGTTTAAACACATTTGTCTGTGCACGTTTATCCCAGGGTAAATTGATAAGTTCTACTAAATCTATAGTGATAATAATGATTTTAGTTGTACTTGTTTAATTGCTGACAACATCTGACAACTATATATACATATATTTGTTGACTCGACTTCCGCATTAAACGGACGGAAGGACAAGAATTCCTGAGACGCTGGCGCGCAGCAGCACATTTCTCTCCTGGGAAGATGAGATGATGACATATGATTACATTCTTGTCACGTCCCAAGCATATTGTTAATGTTCATATTAGTTTAAATAGTATATTATATATATATACACATTAATTATATTACCATTATTATTATTATTGTTATTATTATTATATATATGATATATATATATATATATAAATATCTGGATCTTCACTTAGCACTTTTTTCTGATCATAGCAGTTTTCGCTTGGATTTCCGCTCGTTCTGACTTTTTATGCTCACTTGAACTAGAAAACGCGCATTTGTTTCTTGACGGATGGGCATTTACGTTTTTTTCCCGGGTATTTACGCTTATTTCCCGGGAAAATACGCTCATATGGAGAAAAACCACTCAAAAAGCAGAAATCTCGCAAATGAGCATTTGTTTGTGTTTTTTCGAGGATACAGGTATACCATTATATACCTACAGCCTCCAAAACAATTTTTTCTTGGGGTTGCCAGAAAAAAATGCGTTTTTTTTTAATTATTAATTATCCGTTTTTTTTCAGCAAGGCATTTGGTTACGGGAACTTATTGGTAAATTACGGGCGAATTACCGGTAGAAATTTGCAATTTTTGTTTCCCTTAAAAATGCATGTTTTCCAAAAAATCTTGAAAAAACATGTTTTTCGATTTCAACCCAAAAAAGTGGTATGTTAGATTTCAAACCGTTAATCTGGTTGGTGGTGTCAACCCCTCCTGCAAAATATTGGTCAGTTGGGATTATTATTCCCAAGATATGGAAAAATAAAAAATGTTCCAAACCACCAACTAGTAATTCACGTTAATTCATATTACAAGTTACCTCTGAGAAATATTCAAATCGGAGATGTTCAATAACCACATTCGCAGTGAGCAGTGCTTCCAGAATAGGATAAACTAGGCAATGGCCAACGGATGATAGTACAGCAAAATCCAACCGTAGAGACCCAAATTGTTTTGGTAAGGCGGGGTCTGTGGCACATGTAGATGCAGCAATTTCCAAGCAAAGATATGTTCTTTCCGTAACGTTTTTCCATGGTTCTTACGATGTTAAAACTGCAAACCGCTCCCCAAGGGCCAAGTTCCCCCCATCCATAGTTTTTCCGCTGAATTCAACATCTGCAAAAACATGTGGCCCAACTCTGCCACCTCCTTCCTTGCCAGGAAATTTCAACCCGATGAACGCTCAAGCTTTGTCTGAAAATAATCGGTCCATGTTCAACCGCAAACCTAGGATTCCAATGTTTGATGGTTTCATGTTGTTTCTATAATTTGGTAAAGCCAAAGAATAAACATCGTCCTGGGGATGTTTTGTACAATCAACTGATTTTTCTGGCAAGCCATGGGGGCGATTCCGGCTTTGGCTTGACCACATCAAGGTGTTCCCCCCCAAAAAATGGGGAGCCAGTTGGAGCTACGAAAGCTACTAATCGAGTTTCCCAAGCATATGATATTCGAACTTACTGGGTACCACTGAAAAAGAAACAGATCGGAAAGGGAAAACCACTGGGACATTTCTTTTGGTTCAAGTGAATATTTGGGATTTTGATGGATTTTAACCATGGGTGAAGCAAGATGAATCAAGCACTGGGAATCTCCACAGAAATCGTCTCTCCTGCCCGTCCACCTTCACCGAGGTCTGCCACAAGGGCGGTGCCTCCAAGTCAAATCAGAATTCAACGGGCATTTCACACTCACTCACATCACACTCACTCACTCACACACACACACTCACTCACTCACTCACTCACACACACTCACTCACTCACTCACTCACTCACTCACACACACACACACTCACACTCACTCTCACTCTCACTCTCACTCTCACTCTCACTCTCACTCTCACTCTCACACTCACTCACTCTCACTCACTCACTACTCACGCACTCACTCACTCACTCACTCAACCTCACTCACTCTACCTCACTCACTCACTCACTCTACCTCACTCACTCACTCACTCACTCTACCTCACTCACTCACTCACTCTACCTCACTCACTCACTCACTCTACCTCACTCACTCACTCACTCTACCTCACTCACTCACTCTACCTCACTCACTCACTCACTCTACCTCACTCACTCTACCTACCTCACTCACTCACTCACTCACTCACTCACTCACCTACCTCACTCACTCACTCACTCACTCACCTACCCCACTCACTCACTCACTCACCCACTCACTCACACTCACTCACACTCACTCTCACTCTCACTCACACTCACACTCACACTCACACTCACTCTCACTCTCACTCTCACTCACACTCACTCACACTCACACTCGCACTCACTCGCACTCACTCGCACTCACTCGCACTCGCACTCGCACTCGCACTCGCACTCACTCGCACTCACTCGCACTCACTCGCACTCCCTCGCACTCGCACTCACTCGCACTCGCACGCACTCGCACTCACTCGCACTCACACACTCACTCACACTCACTCACACTCACTCACACTCACTCACACTCACTCACACTCACTCACACTCACTCACACTCACACTCACACTCACCCTCACCTCACCTCACCTCACCTCACCTCACCTCACTCACCTCAACTCCCTCACTCCCTCACTCCCTCACTCCCTCACTCCCTCACTCACTCACTCGCTCACTCGCTCACCCGTGCATGCACATACATACACACACACAAACTCACCCACCATCACCCCTCCATCACTCTTGCTTTTCTGTGCTGAGTCTAAGTCTAGAGAAGTTGGTAACATGTGGGGATATCCGGTCCTATAATTGGCGATCGAACCTCATTTCGTGCGAAAGGGCTGCGTTTCGTGCCGTCTCGTTGGCACTGCCCCGCGCCTTCAAGAGAGAAATAGAAAAGAAGGAGAGAGCAAGAGGGCAAGAGAGCAAGAGGGCAAGAGAGAATGTGAAGATGTGAAGATGAGAAGATGAGAAGATGTGAAGATGTGAGGATGTGAAGATGTGAGGATGTGAAGATGATGAAGATGAGCAGATGTGAAGATGAGAAGATGTGAAGATGAGAAGATGTGAAGATGAGAAGATGTGAAGCTGAGAAGATGTGAAGATGTGAGGATGTGAAGATGTGAGGATGTGAGGATGAGAAGATGTGAAGATGTGAGGATGTGAGGATGTAAGGATGAGAAGATGTGAAGATGTGAGTATGTGAAGATGTGAAGATGAGAAGATGTTTTACAGACCCCCACTATTGGAAGAACCCTGCGCTCAGACGCTCTCGGGAAAAATACATATTGAAATATAACAATATCTATATTCTGGCTTTGTCTGCATATAATGTACCCCTAAAAACCCAAAGTTTAATCACTTAAATATCCCTATCAAATGGCCATAACTCGGGGTATACATGGGTTTACCTAGTTTCCAAACACACCCACATCGTTATAATATGTTGTAATATAATGATTATATATGATTACATGATGGAATTTCCGTTGTCAAAATGCAGGGCAACTGAGTACGGGGACGCACCGACTTGGGGTTTCACGTGTTGTCTTTTGCAACATTAAATGCAACTCAGAAGCCTCAGTTAAAATCTTGGATCTATTCATGTTGGATCCCTTATAAAAATAATAAGGGATCTTTAATATCAGGGGGAAGGGCTTGCTGTGGTTAAAGCCATTCCATACCATGACTCAATCAGAGCTGTTGAGATTTAGTAATTTGCTGTGATAGAATCCTTGAAATCTTGTATCAACTGTCAATCTGGACCACCCCAGATCATGGAAGCATGGAAAGAAACTTTAAAAAGCCCTACCGTGCTACTCAGTTTTCTTGTAGGTTACCGGAAAGAACATTCGATCAGTTTGTTACTGAAAGTGAAGAAAGTCGGTCTCACTTTTCCAGACAGCATTTCCTAATCCTGTCATCATCGAACAATTCCCCTTCCACCAATAAAAAATATACCTTTGCACCACTGAGCAAGACCTTCACGCGCCACATGTTTCTTTCATCAACAGCAAGGGACAACTTTGCATCCCACAGGCGCGGTTCTAGGGCGCCGAAAGTGAAACGATCCTGTGCCCCGCAGGGGGTAGCCTCCACTGCAGGAAGTCGGATGGAGTTTTTGTAACTCATTCTCTATAATTTTGTGCTGACTGGATGGACGCTGTTCATCACGAACCAACCCTATGTAACACCAATGATTCCTTTCTGGCCATCTTCCCAGGCAAACTGCAGAACTTGCACACATTAGGCATTTTCAGATTTTGAAGGGAGGCTTGAGATTCCTTGTTTTTTCACTGCAGAGACCTTCAATGCTCCTATCCTCAGCATTTCCACAAACTCCAGTCTTCATTGAAAAGCATCAGCATCCATCCAACCTTTGTTTGGCCTTAGAACATGTTTCGTCAGACGCGTGGATTTGTTCTTTGTGCCTGCTGGATCCACGCTTCCATTTCCTGTGGATCAAAGATGGGTGTTTTCCATGTTGGATTCGCAGCCGCCTCCTCCTCTGTGCATTTTTGGATCTTTACCTCGACGCGATAAGATTGAAACCCTCTGGTGATTTAACATCATAGCTATTGAAGATGGCAATTTATAGTTGATTTTTCCATTAAAAATTTGTGATTTCCAAAATTACGTTAAATTACCAGAGGATAAGTCGGAAAACACAGATTCGGGTGTAAGCGGTTCCGTTATAATCCCAGTGTATATTTGGAATAGTAAGCATGGATGACCCCTGTTGCTCTACCGGTTTATAGATGGGACAACCATGGATGACCCCTGTTACAGTACACATGGTTTTTTCAACCAGTTGCTTGTTAAACACTACACCCAAATTACTTGCCAAAAGAAGTTGAAGCCTCCTGCCATAAGTCCATCATCCATCATCATCCACCATCCACATCCATCCACTTTTTTCCGAATGCGTAGCCAGGGTTCCTGTTTCACTCTGGGGGTCTGGGGGCTGAGGGTGTGTTCGCTCGACATTGCGTTTACGTCCGCAACCGTTCGCAACCGTTCGCAACCGTCCGCAACCGTTCGCAACCGTCCGCATGAGGACCATAGTTCTGCAGAAGGGGTTACTTTTGGAGGTTTCAAACGTCGATCGTGTTGCTTCGTTTCGCGTGGCAGGCGTGGCACTTCCCAAAAGCTCTGGTTAGGCTAATTCCTGCCTATTAGGTTATATCTTGTTTTCTGACTATTAGCTAAATTTTGTTTTTACCTATTAGGTAAAACAACTGTTTTACCTAATAGTCAGAATGATCAAATAACCCTTTTTTTCTTTAGGTTACTGCTATGAATAACATTTTTCTTTAGGTTATTTATATGAATAACCTGTTTTCCTTTTGATTATTTATACGAAAAAAAACATTATTTTTTAGGGTTTTGTCTGCAAATAAGTTCTTCTTTTTGAGATGTTTTGTATGAATGACCTTTTATCTTCTTAATTTTGTTTGAAACAAGTTTTGCTTGTTTTATATTTCTGATGCAATGTTTCAAACTTACCAGAGGCTTTTTACACAACATGAACAAATAGCCTATTTAGGCAAACAGACAAACAACCTAAAAGACAGAACATGAAATAGCCTAATAGATAGAATTTAACCTTAAAAACTAAAATAACTTAATAGGCAGGAATTAGCCTAACCAGAGCTTTTGGGTTCGTGACATTCAGACGTGTTTTGTTATAACGTATCCAAAGTCGTTTCGTGCAGCAGGCGCAGTACTTTTGCGACGTTTTCCGAAGATGCGTTGCAGTTTTTGTGGCAGGCGCAGCACTTTGGAGATTCCGTGGCAGGCGTGGCATTTTGTGAGATGTAATGAAAATTGACGGAAGCCTCGCACGAAACATCGATTTTGATGCAGCAAATTTAGATGTTCCTACGAATCACGTAGGTAAACGTCGATTTTGAAGCTACAAAGTGTCAAAATTAGCGGAAGCCTCGCACGAAATGCTCGTTTTGATGCTCCTAGTGTCTCGTCTCGAGTCTTTGGTTTTCCTGTGGCCTCGCCGTGTCTATGGGGGAAGCTGCAAAACCTCGCCTTTTCAAAGGTTTCCAAGCAGGTTGTAATGCTGTTTTGCATGGCAGGCGCGGCACTTTGTGACATTCCAACCTGGCTGATAACGTGCCGAAAGTGTCTCTGGTTTTCTACACACGTCGCCGTGTCTATGCGGGAAGCTGCAAAACCTCTCCTTCTCGAAGGTTTCCAAGCAGGTTGTCATCTCATTTTGCGTGGCAAGCGTGGCACTTTGTGACATTCCAACTTTACACTCTACACTCCACACTCTACACTTTCCACTCCACACTCTGCACTCTACACTTTACACTCCACACTTTACAGTGCACTTTACACTCCTCACTCCTCTACACTCTACACACACCACACTCCTCACTCCACACCACACTCCACGCTTTACACTCCACACTTTGCACTCCACACTCCTTACTTTACACTCCGCACTCCACACTCCACACTCCACAGTGTGTGACACTCCACACTCCACACTCTACTTCGCACTCCACACTCTATACACTTCACACTCCACACTCTACACTTTACACTCTACACTTTACACTCCACACTCCACACTCTACACTTTACACTCTACACTCTACACTCTACACTCCACACTTTACATTTTACACTCCACACTTTACACTTTACACTTTACACTCCTCACTCCACACTCCACACTCTACACTCTACACTCCACACTCCACACTCCATACTCTACACTCCACACTTCACACTCTACACTCCACACTCCACACTCTACACTTTACACTCCACACTCCACACTCTACACTTTACACTCTACACTTTACACTCTACAATCCACACTCCACACTCTACACTTTCCACTCCACACTCCACACTCTACACTTTACATTCCACACTCCACACTTTACACTTTACACTCCTCACTCCTCTACACACTACACACACCACACTCCTCACTCCACACTCCACATTCCACACTTTACACTCCACACTCCATACTTTACACTCCACACTCCTTACTTTACACTCCGCACTCCACAATCTACACTTTACACACCCTACACTCCCCACTCCAACCTTTACACTCCTCACTCCACACTTTACACTCCACACTCCACTCTCCACACTTTACAATCCACGGTCCACACGCTGCACTTTACACTCTACACTTTACACTCCACACTTTACATTTTACACTCCACACTTTACACTTTACACTCCTCACTCCAAACTCCACACTCTACACACTCTACACTCCCCACTTTATACTCCCCACTCCCCACTTTACACTCCACACTCCTTACTTTACACTCCACACTCCACACTCTACACTTTACACTCCACACTCCACACTCTACACTTTACACTTTACATTTTTCAATCCTCACTCCACACTTTACATTTTACACTCCTCACTCCACACTTTCCACTTTACAATCCACACTCTACACTCTACACTTTACACTTTACACTCTACACTCCACACTCAACACTTTACACTCCACACTTTACACTGTACACTGTCCACTGTACACTCCACACTCCTCACTCCACACTCCACACTCTACACTCCACACTCCACACTCTACACTCCACACTTTACACTCCACACTTTACACTCCACACTTTACACTTCACACTTTACACTCCACACTCTACACTTTACACTCTACACTTTACAGTCTACACTCCACACTCCACACTCTACACTTTACACACTCTACACTCCGCACTCCACACTTTACACACCACACTCCTTACTCTATACTCCACACTCCACACTCTACACTTTCCACTCCACACTGCAGACTGGTAACAGGGGAAATAGGTTCAAGACTGTTCAAATAAACTATTGCAGAAAAGTGTTCTGCGTGACTGCATATCCATGTGTTTCGACATCTGTACCATTAACATACGTGTGGGCATTCGGTTTCGTGGGCTGCATCTTGTTTTGGGCACTTCAACAAACAGCTCCAACGTTTGTCCAAGGGTCCAGATTTTTTCCCCATTCCACCGAGCAAATGTCACCATCACCAGGCATCACTGTGAGACCTCGGGCACCCAGTTGGAATCTCATCAGAGCTTTGGTCAACTGTAACACTTTCTTCACCGCAGAATTGCTCGCGTCCGCATCGATGCCCGTGTTTGTCATGGTGTACCTGCGGCTTGAATGGGACGGCCATAACTTTATGAAGAGCCATGAGCTGGTGGAAAGTTATAGATCTTTTTGCGAAGACTACATGGAACAATCTTGGAAAATCTTGGAAAACCAAAAGCCATACTCTGAAATACCAATATCCTGGACTCTGAAGCCTTCTGTTCAAGTGATTTGCCATCTTTGGCATGGCCACATTTCCTGGAGGGAACACAAATTCAGATTCACAGGTGCCACCAAGGTGCCCGTAGACCTTTCTGCCAGGCTCCCAATAGTTGGTCTCCAAGTCTTCAATGACATAGAGACCACCAGGAACCACAGCTTTCCACAGGGAGAAGAATGAGAAAACCTGGTGGTAGGGCACATGCGAACCATCGTCGATGATGATATCCCACGGCCCCCTTGCGATTAAATCTTCCTGGCAGTGCTCTGATGGTCCTCCCAAATGGATGTCCCATGTGGTGGATCGAAAGGTTGGGGTACCAATCGACCAACAAACCATCCCAAAATAGGGGTGATCCCATCATTTTGAGACTGGGGGATCATCCTATCCAGATGAAAGTCTCCATTGTCAGCCCATTTCAGAAGGAAGCCCGGGCTTGGAGGTCCCTAATTCCTCGACATAGAATTTTAGGCCATGTTTTCTTGTTCTGTTCTTGTTCTTGAATATTCTTGAATGTTCTTGGCTGATTAAACTCAGTTTGATTCGATTTGATTCAACTTGCCTGTTTGGTCATACACATCTAGCCGATTCACACGGAAATCACTCAATCGCTATTCGTCCTCAAACCGGATCGGAGACCTGGTTCCTCAAACCAACCTGCCTACTTCTTGCCTATTCTCTGGCCCACAATTATATATATCCATGTTGTGGCCTTGTCACCATAACCCACAACTCCTCAAACCCCAATACCACCAATACCCCTAGAGAAATGCCCCATTTTTCAGAAATAACCATGGAAAAACAATCTCAACACCATGCACCCCTCGGCTTTCAGCATGTGATCATTAAAACATACCCTAAAATCAAATAAAATCATACCATGCCTATCATCTCCGGCAAGATGCCATGGTCTTCTTCTTGGACTGATCTCCAAAGAGCACTCCCACGCCACGTCTCACCTTATTCTCCACTCCCATGGCAGGGCCGCCATAGGCCAAGCCCAGCACCGTCTTCCCCGGTGAGGTGAAGATCGTGTCCCAGGCGTTCAAGGAGTGACCCTGGTTGGCACCGATCTCGATGACCTTGATCTTGGGCTTGCAGCGAATCTCCCGGAACCACCTCTCGTAGTAGTGGTCCTTGGGTTTGATGGAAAAAAGTCAGGTCGAAGTCGACACCAAAATCCATGGAATTCTATGGACAAATGTGCTAAAAGATTGACCATGCGTGGAACAAGAAAACATCTGTGAGCTTCAGACTTGTCAATAAACACGCTTCACACAGCCCTGCAACCCAGTGGCATAGTGATGGGCACTCCACTTGTCAGAGCCACTCCGTTTGATCACACTTGCGATCCTTAGGGCACCATTCGTTGCACCCGAGGGCTGAGACTGGCCAAACAACCAGCTGGCATGTCATGGAAGTTTCCAACTCTAAACCTACGGACTTTTGGGTTGTCGCGGACCCCTTCAAAAGCAGCTGGCTCAAAGATTTTTTTCTTAATGCATCTTAATGCCATCTGAGTTGTCAATTGATCCACTGGAAGACTTGGTTTGATGATGTCCACATGTTCTTCAGCTTGAACCCTCAGAATTGTAGGGTTTGAACAGCCATTGAACATTATAACACATGATAAAACATCATCAAACATCACGATATAACCATGATTAAACCTCAAACATCACTAAACATCATGAAACCGGGAAGCATGACTCAAGTTTGAGAGTAGGGGCCATCTGCCGAGCCTCGATCTCAATCCCCTTGGGCATGGGTATGGGGAGCCGCTGACATCTGCAAAAGCTGGCGGTTCAATGGACCGCGGCTGCGACATTGGCTGCGGCAAAGTGCCAGGTCGTTTGGTGATCTGCAGGGGATCAAGAAGGTATGACCTGTATGACATGTGGGAACCCCAAGATAGATAAGAATAACATCCAGTCATATCCAATCTTAAACAGGGTGCTGCCACAAACCCAAATTCATAAGCAGTGGTCGAAACGCTTATTGTGCCGCCTTGTACATGGAAATCCCTTAGAACACTTCTGTACTGCTCGGGTGCTGAAGATTTGCTTGATTCGATAGAGATAAACTCCCTGTAAAGGACAACATTCTACCAATAACAAAACCATCAGCCACGGGGCTATCGGGACCAGAAAGCAGGGGGCTGAGAATTTTGTCTCATCCACTGCTTGGAAGGTAGTTTGACTCAGGGGATACAATATATATATATATATTAATATATTATATATTATATAATATATTATATATTATATATATATATTATATTAAATATTATATATTATATATTATATACTATATAATATTTGATATATATATATACATATATTATATACATATATATATATACAGCACCCGACAGAATTATGGAGAAAAAAAAACGTTTCAATTTACAGGCGCCGCCTGTCTATGATAGAAAAGTTACGAACCTTTTTTTTTCCATAATTATTTTTTCCATAATTATTTTTTTTCCATAATTCTGTCGGTGACTGTATGTCCATCGATTCGCAATTTGAATGCATTTTAAGGGGGAATATTGAATTATAGAAAATATGTGTCTAAAGATCTGGTATATGCCCCTAAGTCTTCCATTGATATACATAATATCATGTGATGTTCGCAATTTGAATGCATTTTAAGGGGGAATATTGAATTATAGCGGGATGTATCCTTTTGCCAAGCCACCAATTGGGTTGATACTACATACTTGCACTTGCATACATATTTCCATAACCCCCCAAAAAAAGGGGTTTGAATTGTGGATCCATGACATGTCCAACAGGTGGAGCCCCAAACATTAATTATGGAAAAAATAATTATGGAAAAAATAATTATGGAAAAAAAAATTATGGAAAAACCGGTCAATCTGCCCTAGCCCCCTGATTTTACAGGAAAAATCAATTATGGAAATAATGGCCACCTCCAAGAATTATGGAAAAAAAAAAGGTTCGGATCACTTCCGGGATATTTTGAACCCTTATGGGGAAAAACCTAATTATGGAAAAATCGGACGCAGGCGCCGCCTGTCTAAGTTGAACGTTTTTTTTTTCCATAATTCTGTCGGTTACCATATTCGATGTCAACATTTATCAGCAACTCAACTTGAACTCTGATAAAATCAAAAATGCACAAATTTCAAACTTATGGGTTCATCCACAAATTGTTCCTATTGGATTGCGATCAATTACTTGAAGTGGTTACCTATAATTTCCAATCTTTTTCAAATAGCACCCACATATAATCATCTTCCAGCCTTGGGATTGGTTGCTGTAGCCCTTTTGTTCCACGCGACCATACGATCCATGTCCACCCGGACCTCTCGCCAAAATGGAGGACTTGCACATTCCAGTTCAGTGCATTTTCTCAATTTCACCTTAGGAAAACAATGGAAAACGCCATGCTACACCATGACATGTCCTCATGCCCTCCTTTCGGTCCTCAAACATGGTTGGAGTGTTGTGACAACTTGTGGTAAGCGTGCCGGTGGCAATCAACATATATACCGCCACAAAAGTCGACATGTTGGATCAAAAACAACTGTGTTTGGATGCTAGTCATTTCAACGCACATGGCAAATCCAACAAAGTCCTACTTGGGTGCTTCCCAAGATTGGAGGAATCAGGAACACCCCAATCATCCAACATTAGACTAAATATGACTAAATATTACAGTAGTATATAGAGTCAGAGTATATAATATTACATGGGATGGGTCAAAACCCTGGTACCTAGTGAACCCCAAAATAGCTGGTAAATGGATGTTCATCCCACTAAAAATGGTATTAATAGGTATTGATCCATACCCACATAGAAACCCATGAGTTTAGGGTACCTCTCCATTTTGACCACCAGGACACCAAATTCATCCCCCATTCCACGGAGATCAGACTTTCATCGCCCGGCATGACACTCAAGTCCCGTGTGCCCAGATGGCGACGCATCAGAACTTGTTGGATCTCCTCAATTTTTTGTACTACAGCCCATGCTTGATTCGCCAGTGGTCTCCTTGGTGACATGTTTCCAAGGCATGTAAAAGGCATGTTGCAGCAGGGAACCATCTCAACTATAGGATGTAAACAGGTAGATTGGAGATCATGAATCCTTCTTAGATCAGCGGGGTTGCAAAGTTGCAAAGTTGCATCGTCTTGGAATTGAGGCTTCCAAGCTGGGCCCATAAAATCCTGCAACACCCCGGTCAGCATTCACCGCCTGGGTTCTCTGCAGCGACCTCGTTGACCCCAAAGTTGGCATGCAGGTTCTGAATGATGTACACACCACCCGGTGCCAAGGTGTTCCACAAGGAAAACAGGCGGAAGAGCATCTGGCCAGCTGCACTGGAACCGTTGTCGATGATGATGTCCCAGGGTCGCTTGGAAATCAAGGAATCCTCGTTGGTCAACTGGGTCCAAAGCCACGGGGGGGGCTTCGAAATATCACCATCTCACCAAAAGGGGGAAACAATCAAGAAATGGAGATGGGTTCGTCTGAAAATTTGAACCCCAATCAATATGGGCCACTTTAAATGCGGAAAAACCATGTTCTAAAAGCTAAACAAATTGGATTGTTGTGAAATTTTCAGACAAACCCTTTTCGGTCCAAGCATCCATGGTATTTTCCGAGGATCTGTCGCTGTCCGCAACACCTAGGATGGTCTTGCTGGACGATTGAAACATCCGATCCCATGCTTTCAACGAAGCTTGGCTCGCGCCAATCTCCACAAGTCTCAGAGTGGACCTGCAGCGCATCTCCCGGAACCAGCTGGCATAGTAGCGCTCCTGGCGGGACTGAACTCCTCCTGACATAGCTAGGAAAAATCACGGTTTGAATAGGTAAATCATCTATACATGGGCGATCTATACCATAATTACCATAGCAAACTGCTGAATTCTGGGATTATTAGAGGGTAATCCAAGAAACCCGAAAATAAAAACAACACGGCGTGACATCTTACCAAATGATGCCCAGGAGCATAGTGGTGCATGGAGAACTTCTCGGATCCTTCGTCTTGCAGAATGCTCTGGATCCTGGGCGGGAAAAATGCTGGGACCATGTGGGACCCTGGCCATCTGCCCGCAGCCGCACGATACCAAGCATCTTCGGCAGTCCCGGTGGGCAACCGTAGGGTGTCATGCTGGCTGGGTTTTTGAGCTCTGTTGATACAGCAACCTTGGCAAACTCCTCTTCATGCTCGTTTTGCTGCACTCTGCTCAACCTTCAGCAACTGGGCAGTGGACTTAAATGGCTGACTTTGGGAGATTTGACCATCTGTTTATTCATTTTTGGTAAAGCCATGTAAAACCCATAATACCTATGGTACCATCATAGGATAAAAACCCATAATAACTATGGTACCATCATAGGATAATTATGGGATCGTTATAGGATAATAATGGAATAAACACCCCTGAGTTTGGCGCATCGTTGGGTATACCCTTATTTGGAATGATGCAAAATGTTCCAAATGGTTGGTTTACTATTGTGTTTGGCACAATCGTCTGAGGCCCACGCATCTTTGGATCAAACCGCCTACCATTGAGCGCATCAACCATCTATTGTGAGTTGTACATGATGCGCATGGGTTATAAATGGATTTATTATATCATATTATATTCATTTATATCCCAAGGTTTGCTCATCGGTACTATATATATATATATAAATCTATTCAAATAGGTTTATCAAAGTGGATGGATATCAAAATCAAAGCATGTATCCAAATAGATGTTAGTGGTTGTCCAAAATTGTTACTATAATAACATATGTTGATGGTTATTCCCATTAAGCAATGCATCAATCATCAACACCCCAGGCCGCCCAGTTGCTTAGTCTCACATTGACATTGCCTCTCTGCAGATTCAATGGCCGCTGCCATCCTGCCCAAAAAAACGAGGTTTCCGAGTGGTTATATATAGATATACCAGTAGTGCCGCACAAGGCGGTGGCGGAAGTTTCAAAAATAGGTCACCTATAGGGGAGGTTGGTTGCTGTGAATCACGGATGGCAGAGCGAATCCACTGATGGACCGACAGGTGATTGGAGTTGTGTTTTTTGGAGTGGCTGCAATGGTTGCAGTGGTCACCTTACCACAACTGCTGGATGTAGTGTGGTGTAGTGCAGTTGCAGTTGCAGTTGTAGTTGCAGTTGTAGCTGTAGATGTAGTGTAGTGTAGTGGAGCTGTAGTTGTAATGTAGTGTAATGACTGTAATTAATTAGTGTAGTTTGCAGTTGCAGTCGTGGTGTGGTGTAATTAGTGTAGTGTAGTGCAGTGTAATGTCGTGTAGCGTTGTGTAGTGTACTGTGGTATAGTGTAGTGTAGTCTAGTGTAAGGTAGTCTAGTGTAGTTGTAGTGCAGTGTAATTAGTGTAATGTAGCGTAGCGTAGCGTAGGGTAGTGTAGTCTAGTGTAGTTTAGTGTAGTGCAGTGTAGTGTAGTATGTGCAGTGTAGCGCAGTGCAGTGCAGTGCAGTGCAGTGTAGTGTAATGTAGTGGTAGTTGTAGTTGTAGTTACAGTTGCAGCTGCAGTTGTGTTGTAGCGTAATGCAATATAATCAGTGGAGCGTAGCGTTGTGTAATGTAGCGTGGTTGTAGTTGTAGTTGTATTTGTAGCTGTAGCGTGCTGCAGTGTAATTAGTGTAGGGTAGTGTAGTTGCAATTGTAGTTGTAGTTGTGGTAGTAGTGGTTGTTGTCGTTGTAGTTGTTAGTGTAATTGGTGTAGTGTAGTGTAATTAGATGTAATTAGCGTAGTGTAATGTAATTAGTGTAGTGTAATGTAGCGTAGTATAGCGTAGTATATTTGTATTTGTAGTTGTCGCAGTAGTGCAGTGTAGTGTAGTGGTAGTTGTAGTTGTAGTTGTAATTGTCTATCGATCTATCTATCTATCTATCTATCTGTTTGTCTGCCTGTCTGTCTGTCTGTATGTCTGTCTGTCTGTCTGTCTGTCTGTCAGTCTCACTGTAAGCTTGAAAACGCAGCAATTCTGCGAGACTTCCTCAATTGTTGAACTTGGCAACATCCAAAACGAAGCAATTATGCGAGACTTCCTCAATTTTTGAACTTGTCAACATCAAAAACAAAGCAATTCTGCGAGACTTCCTCAATTTTTGAACTTGACAACATCAAAAACGAAACAGTTCTGCGAGACTTCCTCAATTTTTGAACTTGACAACATCAAAAACGAAGCAATTCTGCGAGACTTCCTTCAAAAATGGAAAGTTGAGTGCAGAGCTCTAAACGTCCAAAAGTGGTCCGTACGTGGTGTGCTTTGTACATTTTGACTTCGAAATGTGCTTCGCGCCACAACGGCGTGCACTTTTTCGACATCTCAACTTCTAAAAGTGGTCCGAGAATGATGTGTGTTGTACATTTTGACTTCGACATGTGCTTCGCGCCACAACGGCGTGCACTTTTTCATCTCTCATCTGGCCAGCTGGCTCCGCACCCGCCGCTTTAGCGAGCCTACTTTTCAACCCTCCGCAGCCCCAAATCATTGGAAAAACACAGTGTTTCGCGACTTTCCGACCTTTTCGCGCATCTGTATCTTCTTTCTTCTGACTCTTTCTCTTCCATCATCTTCTCTCTTCTACTCTTCTCTTCTCTCTGCCTCTTCCCCGTCTCTAATTTTCATCTGTCCATATTGTCGGAAGTTTGACTTCTAAACTTCCTTCGATAATGTGGTTAAAACAATAATAAACCATCCCCAAAATCACCATTTGTGGTTTGCATAAACCATCAAAAAATAGTGGTTTATTATTGTTTTACCAACATTATATATATAATATATAATAATATATATATATATCTATTTATTAAATGTTATTAATATATCGTGACAGGTTGAAATAATTCACAGGCCTGAATTCAGTGAATTTTGGATAGTTGCTCCAATCCAAGTCCCATCATTCCAGGCCACCAGCCAAGAGTTCTTAGCAGTTCCGTGCCTGCTTTCGCATTGCCTTTGAGCATCCTTCACAGCAGTCGTCAGCGTGCTCTCTGCCCTTAGGTCTGCAGAGCTTTGGGCTGGCGAAGGACAGGCATCGAAGGGCACAAACATCTGTGCATGGTTTCAACATATGGATGTAGTATGATATAATGGGATGCTAACGGGTTTTATTAATGAAAGGGGTTTTATGGCAATAGATAAATCCCTTGCCATGTTTGGTTACCAGAAGGCAATTGGGTTTCAATGGCATCTGAATGGGATAATATGTCTGGGGTGAGATTTCGGGGGTTAAGTCCCTAAAAGAAAGTGTCTGGATGAATAGATATCCATATAGGGGGTATATCCAATCCGAATCATGATGGTGATATATTGGGATTTTAATGGGATGTATACCCAACGAGCATTGGATGAAGTGAACGCTGAAGTATCTCCGACATTTGCCCATTGGACCCAGGATTTCGGTAATTTCACCCAAGTTGTTGGCCATGTACTGAGGGTATAGTCCCATTTCTCGAGAACCACACAATTTTGGATGCTAGAGAATTCAAGCTAGAACAAGCCAGTGGTATAATTCCATTCTTGACAGGATCATGAAACCGTTTAAACTATACTGTACCTTCCCATATCAAAACCTGGTGAGTCTGCCATTGTGAGGCGTTCACGATCCAGGACATTTTTTTGGTCCTTGAGGACTCCATCACTCATGGCACTCAAAACGGGTGAGAGTGGAGCGACCAGTGGTTGGTATTGGCTGGTCATTTTTGGCCTCAAATCGTCCCAAGTTGTTGGTCGAGTAGGGAAACCACTAGTTTAGGGTACATACCCCTATTTTTGGGAAACACCCATACATGTTTGATCCTGCGCTTACCCGCAGCAAAAGGATTATGCATTCCCAACAGCACTCGGTCTGGAACTGGTGCGTCACAGACGCAAGCCACTCAAGACTGGTATGGAACCCTGGAACCCTGGAAACCCGGGATCCCTTGTTTGTATCCACGCTTTTTCTGGGTCATGAACTAAAAGTTTGGTACCCAAACAAAAGAAACACTTATCTAAAGCAATCCTTCGAGCAGTGTTGCAGAATTTTTGATCTTTTTGGGGGGTGCGCTCTGAGATTTTTTTCTATGACTCAGGGACTCAAATCATATGACAAGGGGACTGGATGCAATTTTCTTCGTGAAGATCATAGAAAGCAGAAGCGAGACATGAAATACAAACCAACCATTCAGCCATGGCTCAAAGTCACGCTCACACCTGGTCGACCAAAGAAGGCAGATTTCTCATAGCTTAAGAAGACAGCAGCTGAAAAGAGCAAACCCACGATCTCGGCATCAAATGGCGCTCTTGGCGCCAGGGATTCAAATCAGGTACCCCCAAATTCCAGGGGGATTTTCATCAGTTACCTCATTCGAATTGCAATTCTGGGGTATTCGAGCAAACATGGGGACAAAACAACCGTTCTGATCCGTTCTGATGATATCTTTTGCGAAACAAATGCACTTCCCAGAACAACAATGGACAATGAGGCTTCAAACCGTTGGATTTTGGCGAAATTCGGTTTCGGAACAAACCTGTGTCAAGGTGGAAGGGTCAAGTTTGCTTGCTGGCATCCCCGATGTCCCCGGTTTTTTGATACCGGGGTATGTCATACCACATAGCCAGATCATTGGTTTCCCATACCTGGTGCAGTTTCCAGTTCTCAATCTTCGTGAAGTTAAACAATGTTAAACACGCGAGGAACACCTCCCCAACCTGCCAACATCCCAACATCATCCATCGATGCAGTGGATAAATGATGATAAATCATGATACATCAGGATAAATATGTGTATGTCATATACCAAGGGAATTGTTCGTGCCAAACAAACATTCTACCATCGAACCCTCCACGCGTCAGTCCCAGAAGCAAATCCCTGAGCGAACTTCATGGTGGCTGCGCAGCCACATCCATAGTGGGAGCAAAAAAGAATCTCAAATCTCGGTCAATGGATTGATTTAAGGGAAGATGTCAAATAGATTTTACTGCCATTTCCGTCCAATTTTGAAGGGTACATGGGTCAAGCCGGGGGGTACTCTGTCACTGCAGCACATCGGTGCTGATGGCAATGGTCTGGTGTAAACGGTAGGGATCAATGAAGGAGGTTTCAAGGAACTTGAACCAATTGCAGGTTCTGTCTGTGAGTGACATGGGATGCTTACGGTAAGGCTTAAAAATACTGGAAAGGAAACAAACATATATATATATATATTATATTATACCAATATATGGTGTATAATTGTGTATGTATATCATCAGACACAAACACGGCTGATGCTTGGGACTTTCTGAAACAACATCTTTTTCCGTTCAGAAAAAACATACAACATATGAAAAAATCGTTTGAGAAACGGTTCCAAGGAGATGAACACCACCAAAACATGCTTCAATCTGTTCGAGCCACACCAAATGTTCATCTAAGATCATCTAAGATACTGCTGATGCTCCTTGGGAACACCCTTCAGCCAGTTGATCACTCATCCGAGATTAAAACGCTGGTTTCACCATGGTTCTCCACAAAAATCCCAAAATCAGGGCCATTGGGATCACATTTCAACAAATGGTTACCTGGTGCCTGGTGCTCTCCAAATATGTCCAGACCTGGTGCCTGTTCTCCGGTTCATCGATCCCAGAAACGATCTATCGATATGTCACATGTCCCTTGTCTCCGAATCCGCCTGTAAAGCATCTGGGTGATAACCTAGGTCCCGGAAAGCGAGGCATGCTGGGGCCCCTGGGGGCAAAGGCAATCAGTGCGGCATGGCAGACCTGCGACCTGAATCTCGATGGATCGACTGAGCCATTTTCATTTGTTTTATGTTATTTTTATTTATTTTTAGTTTCAAGAATTTCTGGTAAACTAAAATGATTTCAACTATTTTCAACTTGTAACATC